TTTGTCTAGAGTGGTACGATTGGTGGAATTACATTCAGCCTCTGCGTCTTCAGGCCAGCTTTTACATGAGATTATATTCAAATATGAAGTATAACAGCCTACCGGCACAAAGACTTCTTTTTTGTTTCCACTTTTTCAGTCAAGGGCACGTGCTGACTTAGTGTTAGGACGTGTGCGAGATCTTCACGCTCCCGCTCGCTCGAGAACACACTAGAACCCTGTAATGTTGAGGGAACACAAAAATGTTAACAAGAAAAATCTCGAACTATAATATGCACCTCACAATAAATACACCAAAACAAAATGAGGTACGATAAAAACAAGAAAATGACCGTTCTCACCATGTGTTTTCCTTTCAGCACGGATCCTGCGCTGGGAAGACGACGAACTGTACCTAGATAATGCTAATTAATAATCCAACTCTTTCTTTGGTTAACTTCACGTACAACTGCTGAACCTCCGAGACTTTATAAAGACCATTCGGCGTCAATTAAACTGGGTGCCTGGCACAAAGCTTCAGCGTGATACCGCGCCACCTACAGTTCAATTGTCACGTCTCCTTCGGGTATTGCATTAACATACCACCCTTGTGTATGCTACCAACGGAAGCATCTGCACCGTATATGTATTGAATATTATATGGAGGACACGTATCATCTGAACTGGGCGTAGAAATTGACTTTAAGAGACTCGACGGCACGCTATGACTTAATCCACGAACCCAACTGAAAGAAATAATTGGCCAATACTAAAGCCCAGCTTGAACAAAGTGGCTGCATCTGGGTGGTACTGTTCGCGAAAAAAAGGAACAGAAGAAAAATTGGAAGACCCGTAAACGCGCCCACTCCCACTACTATAAACTCGAAATTGGACGGGTGTGGTGCGCTAGAGGATGAAAGTATGGCGGCGGTGTAGTTCACGTCACCTACACTAATCTTATTTTGCGCGGGAAGGATGCTTCAGGGTGGGTAAACCATTTTATTTGTGCAATAAAGCGACTAAGCATGAATTAAACCAGGAATGTCGTGGTCTTAAAAACTAGAGTGCTTTGCGCCGCGATTTCCCCTATTCCCTTACACCAGACAAGACGCTTCAGACAGTCCGATGATTTTTTGTTACTGTGACCTATTTAGTCGTACTGGGGCGCGGACTTGTAAGCGCAGAAGCGATGTCCTCCAAAAGTTTATTAACTTGAGATTATCATCTCAATAAATTCTTATAGAATAGTAGTACAACTCCGGGTAGCAAAAATACAGTAACGCCATTTCGGAAGATACCGTTCACCCACTGTTCGTCGAACCTACACTGGAACTTTTACGCACATTTCTGGACAAGTTTATAAAAATCTGAGTTTCACAACAACATTGTTCAATTCGAGCGAGAACAAAGGAAATCATTCCTTGGACGTCCATGGTTGCAGTGACGCTCCCGGAGAACATGAAGCAGTCAAGCAGCAGGAAATTACTGGATAACTGGAGGTTAAGAAGCATGAGCAATTTCTGCGACCGATTATTATATATTCACTCCATCTCTCATTTCTTTTATCAAACCTGGATGTCTCTGAAAGCTATGAGTCAAAGCTTCGCATTCTCGTCACGAACACAACACTTCGATACATTATTACAACTACCTATAGCCTTGGCGGAGAAGGAAGCCTCATTCTGACGGAATACATGCGAGAACTCAAGTAGAAGTTTTCCTTCGACGGCGGATAATAGACTTATCACCTCTCCAAAAATAAAAATCCAATTCTCTCGCTGTTTTCGCGGAGAGAATTGGATTTTTATCTCTGGAGAGGTGATAAAGTTGCTCCCCCTCCGCTAGCGACCTGACAACAATCAGAAACCCACATCACCTCAAAGCTATCAGTTTGCTACATGTACCATTCCTTCACCGACTTAACTCTTGAGCTAATCATTTATAAGGGCGTTTTGATTGTTTTTCGCTCCAATTCGTTATGTTCCAAAGTATGTTACTTTTAAGAAACGTATCAGTGAGCGATTTATAGTTCCGATTATCATTCCCCAAATGATAAGTAGTGTAGTGGACTGGAAAATCAATGAATTGTTCAATTTTCTATAAGAAGTGATTGAGAGGACAGTCTCAAGTAAATCAAGTTCTGAAGGACCTCGCTCCCACCCTCTAATACAAATCCGCGCACCAGTACTTTCAATAGGTTACGGCGACAAAAACTCATCGCACTGTTCTAAACCGCCTTGGGTACACCAACTCCTGGACTGGTGCTCTGCAGCAATCAAGATGATGATAAAGATTCTAGCACTGACAAAAACCAAATTCTGCATTATCACCACCGTGTCGTTTATGATGCTTCACGTACCAAATTTCTGTGGAGTGCTGACTAGATCCACGAGATGCATCAAATTTTGTATCACTGTGATTGCTTTCTCCATGCAGAAATCAGAAAAACTGAACCTGAGGTAAGGTTGGAATTGATAGGGTCAGTGTTCTTCGACGATCCTTCCGAACTGCCATCACTATCGCTACCATCACCATCTCCAAAGAAGAATGAAGAATTTTTCTAAAATCATCATTTCAAATACAAGTTACGAGGAAAATGAACAAGGATAGCAATGGAATGGGTGAAACGCTCTTAACAACATGACCAAGTTTTTGAACTAGTCATACAGAACTACTATACGACCCAATTAGACTGAATCTGAACTCTAACACACCCCAACTCACCGGCTTCTCTGATGACTGAGGTATCTCAGCGTCCGAGGCATGTACAGACTCAGCATGATCGGAAGCACCACTATCATCGTCGCTATCATACGAAGAGATCAAATTCAACGCCATTACCACGGCAAACTAAAGACAACACAGGACGCCTCATCCGTGACCACAACAGTCCGCAATATTCCGTGTGAGAAAGATCCACGCGATTTTGCACAAACATTTCGTTACAGTCGATATCTCGAACTCTGATTGGGCGTGTCACCGGAAATGACGTGGCAGCCACCGCACTTGATAGATGCCACGTGGATAAATACTCCGCCAGATATCAGCAAAGCATGCTGGAAGCAGCTTATCCGCGCAACTTCTATCAAGTGCGGTGGCTGCCACGTCATTTCCGGTGACACGCCCAATCAGACTTCGAGATTTGGAGTGCTACGACACTGCCACAACGAAACCTTACACTTTGTAGCTTCATGCCCCCAATCAGGGTCGAAAGCTTTATTGTAATTCGTGCCGCGGCGAAACTCGGGTTCGGGGGGGGGCACGCGATGGCGCGGCGCTATGGCCGGACGCATAGTCGGTCGGACGACAGCAACGACCGCAAGTGTCGCATAAACCGCGGTTGCAAATGGAAGGCGACGCGGTCACCCAATGCTAACCCAGACAACACGTGACTGCGCGTGATCGTATTTCGAAAGTCCCACTGTAGTGTGGAATAGTAGCTGCGTATTGATCTACGACACTTACCGCGTCGCCTTCCATTTGCAACCGCGGTTTACTTGCGGTCGTTGCTGTCGTCCGACAGCAGCGGTCGTAAGTGTCGCAGGTGTCGCAGATCGATACGCACCCAATGCTGTGCGACACTTGCAGTCGTTGCGTCCGGCCTATTTTCGTCTGCTCTACCAAGGCTTAGTCACCAATGGCGCGTATTTTGAAACTGCCACATAATGGCGAAAGAGTAACTGTCCCTGTGGACTAAGCCTTGGAGGAGCAACGAGGTGCTAACTTAGTTGGGGGGGGGGCACGCGGCGGCGCGGCAGTCTGCTCACCTGGGCTCTCTCGAGCGAGACAGTGTAAACTCGAACATTCCAGCTTTTCACGCATGTCAAGTGACTGCCCCCCCCCCCCCCTGCCTACACTCCCCCTGGCCCACGGATTTCCGAACATGCCAGGCGAGCAGACTGCCGCGTGCCCCCCCCCAACTAAGTTAGCACCCAGAAAGAGCGCCGCGCCACCGCGTGTCCCTCCCCCCCCCCCCGCCGAACCCGAGTTTCACTGACGCACTTCAAGAGGCCATAAGGATAGACATAGTACCATCTATAACGTTCGTTGGGGGCGCAACGCGTGTCACGTGCGGCGTCTTTGGCTGGTTGCCAACCGAGCACAATCTGGCGAGTTCTTGTCAGGGTCGGTCCTACGTTGCTACAAGTAGCAACGGGGGGGTCGTACTTTGATGAGTTTTTGGAGGGGGGGTCGTACATTTTTCACGGTGACCCCCCCCCCCCCCCCCCCCCCGCTCGACGGCATTTTTGGAGGAAAAAGTGGGCGGAGTTTTCGTGGGTTCGAGTGATACCAGAATGAAATACTATAGCGAGGAATATGGTGGTCGAGGGTCGAGAAGGGGGGTCGTACCAAATCCACCTTTGGGGAGGGGGGTCGTAAAAATTTTTCGAAAAGTAGCAACGATAGGACCGACCCTGGTTAGCGATGCGTTTTGTCGTATAACTTCCAACTCCACATTATCCATCAGTTGCTGTTACGTTGACATGTTGCGAGCATTCGTCGGTGCTACATTTGACGGGGAGACCACGCGGCGGCGCAGTGCTCGTTATAGGCCGGCTTCGACGTCGCGATCCGTCGGTTTCGCTGATCTTTCGCGCATTCGCATGTGCGCGAAAACTCTGCCGACTGGATCGCAAAAATTGCAAGTGTGTGAACATTTGAAACACTGAATATGAAACAAGTGGAATCATGAGCAGTCGTCATTCAGCCATCACTATCAAGCAGAAGTGGCGGCAGGATTGGAGAACACCTTGCAGTATTGATCGGGCACTTGTGATTTCCGTGACCCGTCGCGTGAATCGCGCAAATCGCGAAAATCAGCGAAACCTGCGACGGATCGCGGACTCTGACACCAGCCTTAGTCTGCTCCTCGCTTCGTCCGAGGGGCAGTTACAATTTCGTCGCCACGTGGCAGTTTCGAAATTACGCGCCATCGCGGACTAACCTTGTCGAGCATACGAACCAGAATGCACCTCCACCGCGTAGCCCCCCCCTCAACTAAGTAGCGTCGTGAAACTCTTCATTAACTCCCTTTACAAGGGTTTGGGATGTTGGTACTAGACTATATTGCTCAGGATTGACTATTTTGCGATTTCCTGAGCACATCAGTCTTCATTAGGCGCCTTCAGCACTTCGTTAGAGTCGCGACTAATTACTGTTCAAAGGTAAGAATACTAGCTTACAGGGTGCATAAATACGGGAGGTGGTTCACAAGGACAGAAAGCGACTTTTTCGCGTCTCGCAGCGCGAAACATTTTTCGCTGTGGAACTCGGGTCCACTCATGATCATTGATGGACCTGAGGTTCCCACAGCGAAAAATATCTCTATTCGTTGAAAATATTCGCGTGAAGAGCAAAAAAGTCGCTCCCTGTCAAATGCGGTGTGCTCAGTGTAAGCTAGTGTTTAGGTCCAAAGGTAAAAGTGTAGCGCCAATTGCTAGAATGACCCGAAGTGGCGAAACGTGACTGTCCGTGCATTTGCTTCCAATCGAGTCTGCTAACGTGCAGCACAACTTCCCATGCGTCGACATAGAGTGAAAGTAACTTGGAAAGTCTCAAATGCTGAAAGGAAACCTGAACTAAGAACTCGATATGCCGCCGTTTTGGCATGGGTGGGACGGTGGAGGTCGGACTCTAAGGATAAATTGGAATGGGGATTTCAACACTGAAATCCCCATTCCAATTTATCTTTAGAGTCCTAAGGCCGATGTCAGACTTTGCGAATCGTGCGATTCGCAAAGTCTGCCATTGGCCTAAGAACGCCACCGCGTCGACCCCAGGGTTTCGCTGCTTCGTCCTGCGCACGTTGACTCTCGCCACTTTCCCGAGCTCTCATGCTCTCGTGAGACAAGTGAACATACAGTAGCGGTCAAAAGTGTTCGCCGAAACGATTTTCAGTGCATTATTTTTTCTCGCTTGAGCAACGCCCTCCAAAGATTGATATACTATGTTTTCTAGTGTTTTTATATCCTCAAGTCTTAAAGAATCAGGATATTCAAAAGAAAAAATTTTCGAGGTCACCATTGATTTTTTCTGGCAAAAAAAGCAGAAGCACCGTTTCGGCGAACACTTTTGACCGCTACTGTAGTTCGATCCATGTTGCAAGGCT